CTTCTGTATCAAAAGTAACCAACCAACAATGAACAAAATTTATTGTTTATAGTAGCAATGTGTTAAAATGTATTTGAGTTGACTAGCATTTAACACCATTTTGAAATTTATTTTGAAGTTGTAATTGCAATGTTATTAAGCTTAGATGTTATGAAAAGAATTTACATAAAATAAATAGACAACACTTGTCTATATTATTTAATGAAACATGTATGAATGAAAAATGCTGCCTAAATACACACACAATATATATATATATATATATATATATATATATATATATATATATATATATATATATAGACAGCAATCCTTCCTTTATGCATGTTTCATTAAAAATGACAGACAAGGTACTACGGTTAAGCATGTTATTTAATTTTTCTAGTGTTCGAACAAGAGCTTTCTTTTCTGGATAAAGGCTGGTAAGAACTGTCCAAATGCTTTACGAACAAGGCCACAATGTGCTAACCGTATTCGGAAATTAAAAACATCCCTACCACACACTAATACATACACATAACTCACACAATCAATTAAGCCGAAAAATCTAATCATCCTTGATAATTGCTAAAGGTATAGCCGAAAGCACTCGGAAATATAAAACATTTGGACAGTTCTTACACACTCTTTGTCCAGAAAAGAAAGCTCTTGTTTGGACACAAGAAAAATTAAATAAAAAGCTTAACCCTCGTACCTTGTCTGTCATTTTTCATGAAACATGCATATATATATATATATATATATATATATATATATATATGCGTATGTGTGTGTGTGTCTTTGTTAGCTTTGTTAGCTGGTCTATAATGTGTACACAGTGTTATAGGAAAAAATATTCTGTGCCTTATTCCACATAGTCATATTGTATATCTATCCTTCCCACAGCATAAATGCAAATCACATTCAGCCTTATACTGAGAATACATCTACTCTCAGTAATATAACAAGGAGATGAGATTTTTTTTTTGATTAGTAGCGTCAGACGTCGTGTCTAAGCCTTAGTGAGGAGCGGAATTTTGAATACAGATATTCAAGGCAGCCCCTAAATCTATGGAAACTTGTCTAAACAAAATCTTCGCATTATTCTTAAGCCAAAAGCCAACGTAAGTAAGTCAAAATCTCTTTCTCTCTTTCTCTGCGTCTGTCTGTATATGTCTATCTGTGTGTTTACGTGATCTTTTATAAATTATTTCAGAATATATACTATGCAAGATTATTTTAATGAAAATGCTCAGTATATTTAAACTAAGTATGAAATTGTTCATCAACATATATGTCTATATTTCTGAGATGAGTTATTTTAAATATAAACAGGTGCCCCCTGAAGATAAGCCTCCAGGTACCCCGTAAGGCCGTGAAACGAGAAGAAATAGAAAAATCAGGTATGGCGGACCATATATAGAGAGAAAAGGGAGGTCACTTATCACTGTGGGATGAGGTTGAAATAATAGACAAAGAACATAGCTGGAAAATATAAAAACGCCTCAGCTAGGCCACAAAAATATGCTAATTGGCCAAGCAAAGACAGGAATACAATATGGCAACCTGTAATATGGGGAGCTAGAGAAAAAATGAGTATAACGAAACAAATTGTAATATGGGTTTCGGTAAAAAAATATAGTTACTGAGACATTAGTCACCAAAATTCACTCGCTGATGTTGACAAGGACGCATGGCCCAACGGATTAAATGTTAATCCAAAAAATGACTTTATCTAAAGAATTGTGAGTTCAATAAAGGAAAAGTGAGTTTAATACCTGAAGAAACACTTAGATATTTGCGTTACTAAATGGAATTAACTGAAACAAAGATATTAAAAAAGGGCATGGCACGTGGAATTTGAAAAAATCTACCCATGTGGACTAAATAAAAGGTTCGGTTCGAAATTCCAGTATATATCAACTGAAGAAGGCTGGAGTGTACAACGGCCGAAACGTCGTGAATATGGCAATAAAGATGGGGAAAAAATCAGAACCATGTAAATAGTATACAAATTGTTCTTAAACAACCAATGAAAAATTTTGGTGATATCATTATATTGATAGAATAAAGAAGCCGTGTGAATTTCAGCTCATAATATAATTTCTATTAGAATGTTTCACAATATTGTTTTTAACAGTGGCAGCTGAATGTTCAGAAATATTTATAATATTATAAATGCTAGGTTTGATCAAAAAGTTGCTACGTTAATGGAGTTAAAGTAAGCAAAATGAAGCCGCTTGTCTTAGAGTTTGAACTAAGTAATAACATTCTCGCTTGCTTCCCTTGTTTATAGCAGTGCTTGGAAGAGTGTGAAAGTATCAACACTGCACAGAGGTTCCATCAATTACGTTGGTTTGTGAAGCAGGTTTTGACCAATTACAACATTCCCCAAGCCGGACAACTACCTTATTCCCCATATCTCACTACTTTTGTATTTAAAAAAAATCACCAAATGGTGGGGTTCCAAGAATACTTCATAAATGAAAACGACGCTGGATAATGTGTGTGATGTTAGAAGGAGCCTACTTAGAGATTAAATGCCGAATTTCTCTGTATTGTAGTTTTCTTGTGATAGCATCAGTCCCGATATTTTTTCACCAGATCTCATAAATGTATATAATGGTATAGATATTAATGTTTATTTTTAATTTCAAATATATAAAGATTTCAATTGATCATAAATTCATAATAATGTTGCAGAATGAGCACCCTGATCCAAATTAGGAAATTACTGGTCAGAACTCCGACCACCCGAGCAGAAATATACATTTTTATTGATTTTTTTTTCTTTTAATATTAAACCAAAAAAGAGCGAATACAGTTTATCTACAAGAATGAGAAGAGGTCAAGACGTCTCGCCGAACCTATATTCATAAGTGAGACAAAATAGAACGTGGTGATAAGACTTTGTCCAAACGGTAGCCGTTCCTCTTCTCTATGTCCTTCTGACTCTCCTTTCCGCCTAGAAACGACGCTGCTACCATTGTCTCTCAGGAAACAAAGCGAGTACAAAGAACGCAGTTCGTCCGTGATTCTGTCTCTGATGGAGCTTTGGGGTTTGGAGTTATGAAGACGACACGAAACGCATCAAGAGAAACCTGAATTTTTAAAGTTACAGAGTGATAGGAAATAAAGTTGGAAAATCACGGAACAGCCAAACATGAAGTAGAAATGATTGGTAAGCTAAAAAAGAATGTTAGAAAAAGGCGTTCGAGAAGAAAGAAAGAAAGAAAGAAAGAAAGAAAGAAAGAAAGAATAAAAGAAAGAAAGAAAAAGATGAATCAGCAAGGAAAATGGATCGATCAAAAATAAAGTATTTTAAAAAAAGTAAACGGAGATGAAAGCTGCAGAAATACAAAAAAAGAAATGATAAAAAGACAGGAAATCAACAAAAAAAAAACAAACTACCTCGTTTGACCAATCAGGAGAAAGAATAAAGACTATTTTGCCTTAAGAACCAGAAAACCTATTTTTGAACAATAAATTTTAATGATGAATTGCGCGCTACATAACTTCATTGAAATATTCAACCAGCTTGATTTAGAAGATAACGTCTTAGTGAAACGATAATGTATTTGACTATTATTGTAAGTATTACTAGTACAGGTCTTATCGAAATTGAAAGGATGATTAATTACAAAGAACTATTGTATATCGTTGGATAAGTATGATACTGATCGGAACGAAGAAGCTTTATGCTAAAGAGTATATTCAACTTCTCTTATATAAACAGCAAACCTGTCACCTTTCCACCTTATGTATCAAAGAACAATTGATCCAAGTCTCTCTAGAAAAGAAAGAATTATGGGCCATAATTAAATGGGATGGAAACTATTAATGCAAAGAAAACTGTGAAAAAAAACAGAACTATAGAGTGAATCGTTAAATTTAATTTCATTTAAATTTCAAATCATTGAATGAAAAACTAATAAATAAAGAAAGCATCTACACAAATACAGGTAGCCAGTAAATAATAATCCTTTCATATTCACGAATATTTTCCCTTATATTATAATTCTCAGGTTTACAGTACATGTATTTCCGAGTTAATTTCCTAGGCATTTATTGACTGAATTAAATCGATACAAATGCTACTGATTTATTAAGATAATGAAAGGAAGAATTTGATGAATTTACGAGATTCGGGGATAATTACAGTTTTCCCAGGTTCGGCATAGTTTGGTATTCAGATTCCTCTCAGAAACCAGGTTGTTAATTTTCTGGAAAAAAAAAAACAAAAAAACTTGGAGTAATGAGTGACCAGAGATGAAAGCTCATTCGAACACAAACATGATTCACAGCCTTGTCACTCCTGTTGATGGAACCCTTCCCAGATTGATCATGTCTTCAGTGGTGTATTGGTACTCACTAAGCTTGGGTTAGGGTGTGTGGCCATTTAAGTCATAGTTGAAAGTCTTGAATTCAGAGCTATCATAATTAAGTAATTCATCGAGTCTAGAAGGAAACCTCAACAGAATGCAGAAAGCACTGGAAGGCTATTTCGTTCTATATTTGGGACTCATCAGCAGTGCGCATCCACTACCGAGAATTGAAACCAGACATTATGAGGCAAACGTTATATCAACTGTAACAACCAAGAGGTAGACTCGATATAGCGCCGCTCGATCACATGTTCCTTGATGGAACTCATCCGAGTTTCCGTTACCCATAGGACTGCGCCCCCACAAGCCACAACTAGTATCACCAAGCCTCTCCAACTGGAGCATTAGAATCCGGTTCAAACAAGGATATACAAGTGATAGAAATTATTAAGAGGATTTGAGATAATCATAATTAATTCATCGAGTCTAGAAGAATCCTCAACAGAATGCAGAAAGCAATGGACGGCCGTTTCGTCTAATTCGTTGCCTCTTCGTCACCGGGTGTCCGTTGGTACAGTCATATCGTAACGGTCCGGGTTTCAGTTCACGGTAGTGGATGCGCACTGCTGATGAGTCCCAAATATAGGACGAAACAGCCGTCCAGTGCTTTCTGCATTCTGATGAGTATTCTTCTAGACTCGATGAATTACTTAATTATGATTATCTCAAATACTCCTAATAATCTATCTATCTATCTATCTATCTATCTATTCTATGTTAGAACTTCGTTCACGCTCAATCTGTGACAAGTGGCTTCATCCCGCATACTTTTACTCCATTACCATAGCAGCAGTCCCGATACTTTCTGATTAAACCTAGCAGTTATAATATTATAAGTATTTTTCAACTGCCATCTGCCACTTCTAAAAACGTTATTGTATATTATTCTAATAGAATTAATTTCGCCGTTTAACAAACAGAGAAATGTCTACATAAATACATGTCCTCGCCAAATCTAACATATACCAGGGAAGAAAGCTCTTTAAGACAGATACAGATTCAAAACCTTCACACTCGTTAGAGGAACCTCCCCTAATTTACCATGCCTTCATGGATGCAGCAATCACCAAATTTGACAAATTGCTTTATTGTAAGTTGTCACAGTAGGAAGTTTTTAAATCTTTGAAATCTTTTCCTAGACAGGTTGCCACTGAAGTCTACAGGTCCAAGTTTGTCATGATATTCAACCACATCTGGATGGACAATAGAGGGATTAATATCTTTCACGAGTTTAACTGCACGTAAGTAAATGTAACGAACTCGATTGAAATTCGAAGTCAGCTCTCCCGATCCACCGTGGTACGATCAATTTAAGGAATAGTAAAAATGATACTCTAATTAGCCATTATTTTTCTACTCGGAACCTGGTTCTTGTTTAATCAACGAAGTTAAACAGTGTGGAGTATCTTCATTAGTTAAATGGGGGTCCGCTTGACAGCACAAGGTACTGTAAGGAACCTCCTATAATCTGAAATATGTTTCGGCTTTACAAAAACTTGATAAGATACAATTAAATCAACGAATCTCATTTAGCCTTGTGCCTTACTTGGTTAAGCTCACTAAGTCTTAATAGTCTCTTGAGACTGCGGTACAAACTACTTTCAGAGTAACAAGAGCGAGTTACTAATGACTGCAGTAAAAATGTTGATAGATTTAGAATTTCATCAACTTTCAAAAAATTTCGACATCACAATTGTCCAGGGAATAATAATAATAATAATAATAATAATAATAATAATAATAATAATAATAATAATAGAAAAGAAATCTTGGAGACTTATTTATTTATTGGTCGTTTTCCAAATCACCCAAATTCTGCTAGAGTTTCTTTTTGTCGAGACACTGAATTCAATCAGTAAAGAAAAGATTTTTTTCCAAAGAAATTGGTCTGGAAGCAATGTTTTGTGAAGAAGAAGAATCACTTAAATGTTTGGTCCTAATGAGCTCCTTGGTTTGTTAGTAAGAATTCGTATTTAGATGGCCAGAATTGAAGTCCTTAGGTATTTTGAGTTGGACACAATCAAAACTGAATTAAAGTCGAATATTTGTAAAGTGTTGAAGTCCCAGAGGAGAAGGAAAATATTTTGGAGAATTTTGTTCTGTTTGTCTGAAAATTTACTAAGCAAAAGAGTAGCATTATCAAACCATTATCAAACCATTATCAAACCATTATCAAACCAGTAAATATTTTTTAGGTCAATGGTTACTGCAAAGGATATTATCCTGAAGAGTGTTGAGTTATTCTTCAAAATACTGTCGTTCAAATAACTGACAGTAAAAATTAGTTTAACACAAGGCTAAATGTATGCTCTAATAGTAATAATTGTCTGCTTCATCGTGTAGTAATTCATGACTACTATTTTACATATTTGGATACTTGTAAAATCGAAAACATAAACGCACATAATTTGGTTTAACTGCTTTTCAATTAGCAAAATATTTTAAAAGGCTGGAGAAAATTGAATAATAGTGATTAAAACGAGCATGTTAAAACAAAGAATATCTAAAAAAGAGTGGGTAACGTAAACAGTGTTTATGTTACTGCAAATATTAATATGAAATTTAAAAAAAAAACACCATCAAGACAACGGAAATGCAGTTTAACCGGTTTATCGAACAGAGATCTATCGAAAGCGGAAAATGTAACCAGTAACTATAATGAAAAACACACACACACAAAAAAGATGATATAAAATAAATATATAAACACTAATTATTTTTAAGCCTAAAAACCATTCCTTCTCACAAAGGAATGGCTGAGTGGACTTAATATATATTGACTCTTCAGACGCTGACTACTTAGAAAGGGTCAGAAGATGGAAGCATGGATTAATCGGCACGTACCTGTAAATATTAGGAAAAACAATTTGGAAAATTTCCATAGGTGCGTTAACACTATTGGTTCGGGTTATTTGATCATTTATTAAACCAATATCAATATGCCCGATGCCATAACCAAGACAGTCTCAGTCTTGAAAAAAGGCAGATTGTGATTTTTAACTTAAGGTAATAAACTTAACTTATATATTATGTCCTATCAGAAATCCAGTTGTAAATAGGAGTCGTTACTTGGATTAAATTAAATTAGCTTTTGATGTTCATATATTTATAACTTCTAACCTCTAGAATTTTTCATTTTAGTTGCTGCGCATAATTCTCGTCCTTTCTTGAATTGATGAGTTAGGTGTGTAATACGAATGAAAGAGGAGTTGGTAGAATGTGAAGATTATGAGCATAATGGAATAAATAAGAATTGATTCTTGATTTGAATAGGTTAACCTTTTAGTCTTCGGGTAATCGGCCAAGCAGGAGTCTGTTTTACAAAGTAACAGATCTTAGGAAAAACTGCCTGAGTGAGAACGTTCTCCTTGCAATTTGAAGGATATGAGGTTAATTCAACACCTTGGCAGTAGTACAAACCTGAACTAATCGAACGAAAGAAAAGAGTTTGTCTAAATATGTTCCATGGAAATGGTTATAGAATACCAAGAGGCTTGCGATGTTGCATCTGTGAGAAAGCATTTTTAGAATGGATACTAATTCTCTCCACTCACAAGATAGCGTAAACGATTTTGCAATCTGTTAAGTTTGGAATAAGAGGATTGAGTATCTCCCGTCCAGATTTCGAATCAATACTTCACTTTTTTTTTTTTTTTAATCAGACTCTTTGCAAAGCTAAAGCATTATAAAAAGAAATCAGGGCAATTGTTCCAGTAACTTTTGCAGTGGCTGACATCCATTGGAAGCTAACTTGCAACCAAGTTCAAATCACGGAGCTTCAGTGAGACCACAAGCGTTCATTCTGAATGTCAAAAACTCGGGGTTTGATCGATGACGATGGAAAAATAATAGGTTGGTTATTGAAGTCCGGAAATTTACAAGCTTATTGCAAGCAATTCTAACAATAAAAATCAAGAATTCTATTGCTCAAAAGAAAAGAAAAAACTTGTCTGTTTTAATGCAGAATCGCCTTAACTGAAGTTGTTAAAGGTTTCAGAAATGAGCGCCCTTGCAAGAAATATAGTAGTTAAATTTGGAGATTTATTTTCTTAAAAACGCACATAAATTGTCAGAAAATTGCGTAACGCAGAGATTTAAATAGATTTCAGAGATTTATTAGATAACGTCACGATTTAAAAATTCCTTCTCCGCTTTTCGGCAAGTCTAACGATTTATTGTTTTTAAAAAAGAAACACAAAACTAATTCAGGTGAGTTACACATCAGACTAAGATTTTTTTCTTTCTTTCTGAACATAATTAGTCGTAATTAATTAAACTTACTCATCAGTCATAAGCGTGAAAATCGTTTACCCACTAACCCTTGATTCTGTTTTCGTCTGTGTGTCGGAAGGTCATGAGTGAGAAGAGAAGGAAATATTTATGTAATTTTGCCCAAAAGAAGGCGGCTTCCAATTTTGGTTGATTGAATTTGCTTATCACTTTTAACGAGAGGAAAAGAAAATGAATCTCTTGATAGAACCTTTCTCAAGCTGCCCTGGTTTTAAGCCCCCCACCCCCGCCCAAAATATATTGCTTTGTTTCTTTGAGTTTTGTAGTGTTAGATTTGATAGATAACGCTTGGACATCGAGAAAAAAATTTTACCTGGATACTTTCCAGATTGTGTTATAAATATATATATATATATATATATATATATATATATATATATATATATATATATATATATATATATATATAGTGGACTCTACCGTCGAAATTTGACGTATGAGGGTCAAGCAGATCACTTTTCAGGAAACCGACAGCCCGACAACAGCACATGAGATTTGATTATAGTGGTGAAGGTTTCGTGCAGGACCATCCACACTTTTTGAAGGGCCGAATACAGGAACCTGGCGCACTAAGTGCCACAATGTTCCCAAACGACCCTCCGCAGGTTTTGAAGGAGGCACGGTGGAGTGATGGATAGCGGCTTGGATAGCTATGGGTAAAATAGCAGGACAGACTGGGTTCTATAGCCTTGTATGGCCACTGGTCTAGGAGAAGAACTCTGAATATATATATATATATATATATATATATATATATATATATATATATATATATATATATATATATATATATATATATACATACAGTGGGGGCAAATTAATATTCGTACACTTCAAAAATTGTATTCTTATAAATGTTAAAGCCGGAAATAAAACAAATTTCGGCACATTTTATGTATAAAGACACATACTATTAAAAAATAATAATAAACTTAATTAATTCTTATTCTAACAGAAATTAATGCATTTTTTAAATCCCAACACGTGAAAAAAGTATTCGTACAAATCAATTATTAGAATAAAATAATCAATTAATTATGAAAAAAGTATATTCTAGAATGTTCCAGCAATGTTATCAGTAATTATAGTAAACGCTATTAACCACTATCAGAGCCTTCTGCAATTTCTAGTCTTACGAGAAGGTTCTAATAATGCCTAAAGGTAAAGAATTGACTATTTCACAAAAACAACACATTTTGTTTCTTTGGGAAAATGGGAACAGTTACAGAACGATTTCGAACAACCTGAATATTCCTTTTACTACAATTGCTTCGTTCATTGCAAGGTTTAAAACTCGTAACAGCATCGAAAACCATAAACGAACCGGTGCGCCGAGGAAGATTTCCCTAAGATCAGCAAGGATATTAGGACGCAAGATCCAACAAAATCCACAGGTTACCCGAGAAGATCTGCAGGAACATCTGCG